CTTGATTCAGGTTGGAAGGATGCGGCAGAGCAGCCTATAGCAGGCAGCAGAATATGCTGGAAAAGAGCAGCAGGATGGCCGGGCCCTGTGCAGGAAGCTGCTCCTCCCCTGTGAGCGGCTGTGATGCTTCTATTGACTGAACTTCTCAGGAGGAAGCACTGAATGTACAAACATGCCTTCAAGCACACGTTTGTCCTGAGTTTGTGTCAGAGGAGGTTGCATGTCATGGTTAGTGTGTCAGGTAGTTGTCGTGCTGCAGACAGGGCTCGGGTGTGATTAATTACAACATGCACCGATGACAGAGCTTTATGTTGTTTGAAGGCTGGACTTTGATGGGTAGAAGAATGAGTTTTCAAAGCGTGTCATCCTGCGCCAGATGTGCACATTAGGAGTGGGAGAACCATGAAGTGAGTCAAATCCATCTCACTGACTGTTAGCAAACCTGTGTACGCTGAACACAGCAGAAGCTGCTTGTTCGCTTTAGCTTCAGCATCAAATTCACAGAATTCTGAGGAAAACGAACACGTTTCATCTGTCGTATTATTACTTCCTGAATTCAATAACTCGTCCTCATCATCAAACAAATCATCTTCTCCTGGCAGGAACCAAATTTGTTTTTGATTAGTTAATGAACGTCACTGGGGGTCGACCACAAGTTGAGAGCTGATGGTGGTCCTGATGAGGTTACACCCACCAATGTTTCAGAGACGCTGCTGCTGTGAGACTCAGATCACTTCACTGCAAATGCAGTAATTTCACTCAGCAATAAAACTGGTAACACACACATGTTCATTATCACTTATTGAACTGTAGACATCAGAGAGAGAGAGCTGACAGGAAAAGCCTGGTACTGGGTCCATGTCTGTGGGTCTGCTGGAGTGATGGAAATCCATTCTTCCAGTAAATATTCCCTCTTCTGGTGATTTTATATTCATCCTGCTGATCTTCCACAAGTTTTCGGTTTGGCTAAAAAACCTGCAAATCCCAGAGAAGAGCATTCATATCGTTTCATACTTAATGTGGGCTTCCTACCAGGACAGAGATGTTCCATGAAAGGGTCACGGTGAAGACTCACAACACCTCACAGCCACGGTAGCAAGGTGCCGTCCAAACCATAGCAGGGCCACCTGTAGTGTGGAGCAAGGTTTGTGTTTTCCTTTTATTCGTCACCCGTCAATCTATGACAGTTACCTAAATTTTCATTCATTACTCTAAATACTGTAGATAGGATCAACATTCTCTGACGTAATTCTGTGGGCTGGTGCAGCGTGTGGGAGTGTTTGGCTAACTTCTCAAAGTTAGTCATGACTTCTGTCCTCGCTCTGCAGTGTGGGAAGAAGCAACAGTGCAGATTTTATTAGACAGCGTTTTGGTGTGTTTGTAGTTTGTACAGGAATGCACTCCAGACCAATTAGAGCGCTGCTGAAAGAAGTCTTCAGTGAAATCTTATTCAGACTGAAGGAGAAAACGAGGAAAACGCGAGGCGCAGGTGGCTCTGAGGCTCATCGAGTCCACAGATTGATTTTGGTTAAAAGCAAAATGAGTTCATTTTGTGTTCGAGGAGGAACGAGGAGACAGAGAGCGCGAGAGGGCAAGGCTCTGGGCAGATTCACAGGCTGAGCAACACCATAATAATGCATTCAGATATACATCATATCATTTAAAAACGTTTCCCACCTGACAACTGAAATCTCTTTACATTTCATTTGTATTGAGAATGCCGGGGTCGTGGTTAAAGCAGTTTTTTTTCTCAGAGCACGCTGACAGAAGTCTGCTTGGACTCGACCAACATGGTCGACAAACTGGCTGTGAGATTTGTCAGAGGACAGAGAGCTCCGTTATCTTATGATAGGTATATAACGGCTTTCTTTCAAACTCATAATTAGAAGTTGCTGCACACAGCAATAAGAAACCGAAACAACAGAATAGAAATATCAGCAACCCAAACACGGACCGGACAAAACGTTAAAATGGTCTTTTAGTACTTAACTAAATGCACAGGAGCAACACAGGGCCTAAAAGAAGCCTTAAAAGTGGTTCATAAAGAGCAGGAAGTCAATGACAGGCTGACAGTGAGAGGTCATGAAGGAACGAGCCGATCGTCTGACAGCTGGGCTGCAAATAAGCAAACGATCGCTCGGAGCGAGGCTTTACTTACGTGTAAAAACCCTCGTCTGGAGTTCGGAGGACCGATTCCGAGATGCTGCTGGTTAAAAACAGCGCTCAGCTCCAGCAGCTGATCCCCGCACTGCCTCGTGTGCACGTCACCAGCTGCTGGTGGGGAAATGAAGCAGTTTGCTGGACATGTTCCACAACAGAGCAGCATCGTTTCAGCACCGTGCACACTGTATGGAATCACTGTGGCACACCAGGTGCATCCCTTCATGCCTCATCTCACCTGTGTAATCCAGCACTCATCATCTCAGTCTGTTTCCAGGAATGTGACCGTAATTTCACTCGTCCTGAAAAATCTCAGGAGGTTAAAGAGCTGCAGCACATTTGGAAAGAGATGGAGCGTAAAGCTTGTACTGTAATTGCCCTTTTGAAGACTCTCGAGGAAGCCAGGCCCTGAAAGGACAATTCAGCTTTGTCTACAGGTAAAATTAGCTGTAAAGAGAGGAAGCAAAACAACATAATTGGAGCTAATAATTTTATTATGTTTGTGTCTGTTCACGAGTGGCCAAAAATTTGTTAAAACTGTGCCGTAAATACAGCACAGCCCACACTTAGTTTATTAAAAAATGCAGTAGACAGCTTGTATTTTTCAAAAATAGAAGCTCTTCACGGTGGAAAATCACTAACATGCACATTTTTATTGCCAGCGTCTGTTTTAAAAGCTGCCATTTGCATTCTGTGAAGGCTTTACCTAAAGTCACTTCATTTGCATCGCACGTGCTGCTTCTGTTTTACCCCATCACCTCTCCAAACTGCAGCACCGACTCTTGAATTTTAATCACTGAGAAGTGGTGGGTTTACAGTCATCAAGTCTCAAGTTTCTGCCACGGAGAGCATGACTCTAATCCTTTTAGTTCGATTTCTGAAGACTGTGATACGTGTGGGCTAATGCTAAAACAGAAAAACCCTGAGACTCGAGCGCAGGCTTGAATGTATTTGTGTGGATGCAGAGTTAGTCCTCGGCTGGACCGCGAACACGCGGCAGCATTTATGATACAACATGTGCAAAATGAGCTGCTTCAGAACAGCCGTGTAGAGTGGTAGAAACATCTGCAGGAAACCCCCCGACTCCCATAACTAACACACATTTATAATCGATCATATTTAGGAAGCAGCATGAAATAAAATTCACTCAAATGTTTTCATTTTTCCTTCCAGACTGAAGATATAATCACACAGGAAAACACAGATCAAGTATTTTGTACCTTTGTTGGTCTTGGTTGGTTAATGACTTCGTTTTTAATGTACAGCCAGCTAGCAGGTGCACTGCCAGGACATCTTGACCACATGTCATCTTCTTTAATCTGAACAGGGAACGTATGTCAGGCTGTACAATTTTATTTCACATTTCCAAATGAGATTTTCTATGTAAAACAGCCACAAAGGCTCCACTTCTCCTCCTGTGCAGTGGAGGGCCGGGTCTGACAGTTTCCAGCTGAGCTCCATCAGCAGCTTGGTTTGAATATTGTACAGATGTTCACGTCCCACAGGGTCTGAAAGTGTCCTCTGGCTTCTGCAGTTGTACCTGTGGCAGATCAAAATCTTTCAATTACCCTGTGAAATATCTCAACGTGCACTTGATGGGCTGTCTGTTCATACTTCATGGCTAACAGGATGAGTCATGCTTGTGTCGCTGCGAGGCTGAAATATAAAATGTCAAGAGAAAAATGAATCGTAGTGTTTCCTTCACTGATCTGTCAGCACCGTCATCAATCCTTTCAGAAGTTGTGGACCGTGACCTTCCCATGACCCCAGCCTCTGTATTTACAGATAACGATGGTATGCTAACGTGCAGAATGTTAGTTTGCTGGCAGTGGGACTTTCCAGCTTCAGCTTCAGTGAGTTTTGTGCCAAAGCTTGTCTTTGTCTTGTTCGCACAGCTGGATGTTTCTACCTGAAGAGGCTGCTAATTAAAGACGGGCCATTTTTACAGGAAAGTGTATTTCAGAGCCTCGGCTTCACTCATCTGAACTGATGTAAATCCTCGGGGAACCAGGGTCAGGACGAGTATTTCACAGAAGAAAAGCTTCTGGTTAAACTCTTGGTTGGAGTTCAGAGGTCAGGCGTTTCCAGCGCTCAGTCGCCTTTCTTAGACAACATAATATGTGGGCTTGTAAAGATGACATCACTTCACTCCCTCACCAGCGACCCTGCGAGCTCT